TTTGCAGGAATCTCGTACGTGCTGGGAGCGAGCAGGACTCCTGGGAATCCCTTTGGATTCCAGCTGAGCACCTGGAGTAGCACCAGCAGAAACCCTGCCAGTTACTGCAGATTATTGTACAGAAAGCATCACTGCAGTTACTGCAGCTCACAAGTACAGTTCTGCAGGGATGACCTCACCTGCCACACTCAGGTTATGCTGGCACTCTGCTGATTTCAGGTAGCTGGTGTTCCCTCAGGAGGACTGTCCCAGGGGGGGAACTGGTGTGGCTGTGTTGGTAAACACAGGCCTGGTTCTGTGGTGTGATGGCTCTGAGTGCAGCTCTCACCCTGCTGTCTGGAATACTTACACTGAGGTGGTTACACCAGGGGAGGGTTGCCATCATCTAAAGAGAAGTAGAAGTGTGGGAGGAAGTGTCTGGTGGACAACAGGGTTGGCACAGCTCTTGCTCTCCCCTTGTGAAAACAGCTCATCTCAGATACCTCTACACAAACATGTTGCTTAGAAGACAGGAGGAGTTAGAAGATCATACCCAGCTGCAGAGCTGTGACCCTGTTGGACCTGGTGAGACAATTCCCATGACCAGGAAGACAGGCTGGAAAGGTGAGAAGTGGTTGTGCTCCATGTGGAGGAGTGCCTGGAGCTTTGCCTTGCGATGGCTGGTGAGCTGGCTGGGAGCTAGTGGGTGTGGATCAAAGGGCAGACCAGCACAGATGCACTGGATTTTAGCTTCAGGTGAAACAGTGAGCAGTGGGAAGAGAGTGCTGACTTTGAGCAATGTAGGACGTGGCCAGGGCTAGATGGAGTTCCACGGGACTGTGGAGGGACAGTGGTCTTACTGCTGGCAGGACTTTGGAACTTGTCAAGCACTGGGAGAAAAGACAGTGAGAGGACATCACAACTGAACTGTCCAAAAAACCTGACAGTTCACAGCAAAGAGTGTATGTGTGTTACTTGGCAGCAGCAACCTGCACTTCTCCATCCAGAGCCCTAGCAGCTGGGCTCAGAAGGCAGAAAGTACCAGAATAACCTCAGAACATTACCCAGAGCAAGCAGCTGAAGGATGTCCTGCAGACTGTGTGTGCTGTTAAACTGCTGTAGTCTTTCCTTAGGATCTCAGAAAATTAATACTATTTCTCTGAGCTTCTCTGACAAGTGTAAAATGAGGATGACCAACACATTCTTATGTCACAGGCAGGATGTGGGATGGTTGGGTAGACAGAAAATTAGGATAAATGTGTTAAATTGCAAACCAAAGGCTTGGTTTCGTCTTCACCCTTCGCTGCCTTTGAGAGTGGCAGTTCCTGCCTGTGACCTGGACTTCGAGTGGTGCAAGCACAGAGTCCCTCACCACATCTCTGAGTGATGGACTTGTTGTCTAAGGCAGTCCCAGTAAGCTGCAACCAGTAATAATCCTCTACCTGTGCAGGTGGATGAGTACAAATACGGGACAATCCATAGGAAAGCTGTAAGAGCAATCAGCAAACATGACCCCACTGAAAAGCCAGAAGAGCTGGAAATGCCCAGAGGAGGGAGGATGAGAGGTGAAAAAGCATCTTGAAATGCAGGAACAGTTCTTGGAAAGGAGGGAAAGAAGCTCTTCTGTGTTTCTGGTTTTCAAGAGGTAACATAGTTAATGCTGAAATGGCTGCAGGAAGGAGTAGCTCGCACAGGACAGAAGGTGGTGCAGCCTTTTCTGTCCACACAGTCATTTGTAGCAGCATGATTGTGCATTGAAAATTGGGGTGTCTGTACTCCCTGACAGGGGATTGTGGTCCAGTGGCTGCAGGCCTGTAGTGCTTGATACTGGCCTTCAGCTCTTAGATTTGCTTATTATAGACAGTGGTTCTTGTCCCACCTTGGCGTGAGCTCACCTGCTTGGGGTTCTACCACATCAGATGTGTCTGTGTGCACTGGTACAAGGGATGAGACTTGGCTCAGCAGTGAGGAAGACACAGATAGATAAATGCCTACATAAAAGAAGCTGAGATTGATTTCTTCTGGTAGGTGATAAACCCACCTGAATTATCTCAGCCTTAGGCTGGACAGACCACATGGTTTCCCCAGCATGTGTTTTGTTCAATACAGGTCGCTGGTCAGAACAATGACTCTTTGGTGTTTAAAATAACACCAGGTAACTCCACCCCTCCAGTGCTGGACTGCTGAATTTGACCTGCAGGGCATAGTTCTGTGTCTCTATTTCTGTGGATTCCCCTGTGGACTCTTTTCCTCTGCAGAATCCCATCCCAGGAGGATTTCTGACCATCTCAGCTAGCAAAATAAATACTATTTCCTATCTGTTCCTTAGGGACTCTGCCTGGGCTGAGCGTGTTCAGCTGGGCTTGGCAGCCTGGGAGGTCTCCCAACAGAAAATCCAAGGTAGGGCAGGCTTTTGGTGCCTGGTGGATGTGGAACATGGAGCCCGGCATGTCTCTCCAGCTGTTTATGTCTCTCCAGCTGTTTGTGCTCCTGAACCCCATTAATCTTCTTGCCCAGAGTATTTTCTTCTTGAGGTCCCAGCTCCCTTGGTTTGCCCTGGACCAGAGTTTTTCTCTGGGCAAAGCCTTGGACCTGGGAGGGCAGAGTGCTGTTCTTGAAGGGGGCAGTGGTGTTTGGCAGGGCTGCCATCCCCATCCAACCGTTTGTGCTGGTTTGAATTTTGCTGTTCTGATCCAGCAAGACAAATAGTCTGAAGCCCTCAGCTGCATGTTTTGGGGAACACTCTCTGGCCTTCCTTTTTCTGGGCTGTCCTTTCATAGTTTTGTTTCTTTTCCTACTCGCTCTAAAAATGTGACATCTGTATTTAAAAAGTAGAGTTCTTTGATTGCTGAAGTCATTAGTCAGTGGCAAAGTTCTGTTTCTTTGACTATTCCAATACCAACCATCACAAAATAAAAATCATCATTACATTGTTCCTTACAGATTGTTTTAGTTAGATATGATGTGTCTGGTGAGTGTGATGTTACTGGGTTAAACATTCAGATGATTCATGTTTCCTTTCTGGCACCAACTATTAAAATGCTGTAAGTTGTTTGGTTTTTTTTTAATTGAAAAAACCTGTGGTTGTTGAATACAATGGCTGCTTTTTAAAAGCAAATACTAGAGAATATTGGGAGTTATTTCAATTAAAAACAAAGCTAAAGTATTCTTTACTTATTACAGAAATAGGGAAAATTACCTAGATAAGTATAAACCAAGTGGTCTGCATTTGATTTCTGACAGAACAGGGGGGTTTGGGTTTGTTTGGTTTGGTTGCAGAGTCAGTTGGAAGAAAGACACTGTAATACAGCTAATATCAGCCCATCTACTTGACACTTCATGTTTTGGGGTGAGTTTGGAGGTCCAGCTGATAATGGTCACCAGTGTATTTTTTTGGAGGTCCAGCTGATAATGGTCACCAGTGTATTTTTAAACTACTATAAATTATTTTATTTTTTCAGCCAGTATATCTTATTTAATTAATGAGATTACTACTAAGAATGAATAGAAGCCATATAAAGTAGATTATATTTGACAGTAATCTCATACCCTTTTGGAAAGGGGCCCAGCAGGTATGTGCTAATAGATCAATATTATTCCTTAATCTTCCCATCACAGTATTTATTAGCACCAAGTTTAAAGTTTCTCTGATAAAGTATCCATGAAGTGTGCTGGAGACAGAAGGTGTCTTGTTTATCCAGAGGAATCTAGATGACTTGTTAAACTGGCACAGGCAGATGTGCATTTTAAGGTCACCAAATCTGAGAGAAAAAAAAACCAAACCCACTGCATGGGGGATTGTATCCTTAAAAGCTGTAGTGCAAAGAAAAGAAAAAGTCATGGAGAGTCTGGTGAGTAAGAAGCTAAATGAAACTGTTGTGTGGTGCTGGGTAAAAGGGCTAAGTCAGTGGTAATGAAAAGTGCCAGTCAGCATGGTTTCCTGGAAAATGTGTCTCTCCAGATAAACATAATCTTGTTTGGTGTCTCAGTTCATTCGAGTGATGTCTATAAATATATACAAGAGAAGGTTTCTTACACCAGAGGGCTTTTTATTTCATAGCCAAAGATTTAATGAGATTTGCTGCCTGGAAGACAAAAAAAGCCTGAACAAAATAAAAAAAAAAAAAACTAAAGTTGTTGAAGACTTTATGTGAGATGTCTTAGTGAGATGTGCTGATTTGATCAGATACCTGTTGTGTTACCTCTGAAGAAACAGGTAAAAAAGGTGTGGTCTGTCCTGTGCAGGAGGGTCACAGCTCTTTGACTTGCAGTGGCTCCTTCCTGCCTCAAAAATCTCCTGAATTTGCAGTTCTGAGGCAAACTGTGTGTTGCATGGAGTGATGTGAACCCTCAGTCCTAGAACAAGCTGGGGCTTCGTGCAGCGTGGGGCAGCTCTATCTTCTGTGGACCTGACGTGATGGGGAAAGGAACCAAAGGGACCTTGGCTCCGTGGTGCCAGCTCTGTGGATGTCTCCACCTCTGGAGCAGAGTCTGGCACTGCTGGAGGGACTCGTGGCCAGATGGTTCAGCCCCAGCAAGCCATGGGGAAGGTGTGTTCCCAGCCTGGAGTCCAGCAGCCTGCTGAGATAGATGGGCCTTTACCTTACAGGTTCCCAACAATACTCAGAATAAGCTCTGAGTTTTCATTGTCATCACGTTTGTAGGATCTGTTTATTTCTAGAAGCATGGTTTATTTTTCTGTGTAAAACTTAGCACTGAGTGTGAGTTTGGTAAATGATGTGTTGTGTAACCCTGATGAGATCAGAGCCCTGTTTATGTGCCATTCAGATTAGAAGGTGCAATGAGCAGGTATTGCTAACTGTGGCTGCAAAGCATGTTCTAGATACACTAGGAAATAAAACACAATAAATGTCAACCTTAGGATGAGAGCGTTGCTGTCACTTCACACTACACTGATTCTCCTTTCTCACTGTTGATCTGTTGCAGGTCCTTTTTCTTGGGAGAAATAAAAAAATGCTTTTATTCATTGCCTCACCTATTTTGTCTTTCTTTTTCCCTAGTTACCCAGCGGGAGACTCTTCCACGCTGCAGCTGTTATCTCAGATGCCATGTACATCTTTGGTGGCACAGTGGACAATAATATTAGAAGTGGAGAAATGTACAGGTTCCAGGTAATGTCCTGATAACCTACCCAAGCAGCCACGCCAGCTCTGTGTGAATCCTGCTGGCACTGTCTCAGGTCAGGGCAGACTTTCTGGTCTGGCTCGCCGTGAGCTTTGGTGGCTTTTGTTTCCCATCCATCCTGCAGGCAGCCTTTGCATTGCAGATTCAGCTGCCAAAGACAAACATATCTCTTTAAAATCTTTTGAGATATATCATCTGGACAGACATTTTGGCAAGGCTAGGCTCCCCAGTGCCTTCTAAAGTCCTAACAAAGATCATGACAAGTTCTTCTGACAAACTGTTGAGAAGTGTATCAGAGAGGATTTGTCAGGATGTTCAGCTGAAAATTGACTCTTCCTCTTCGTGCACGGTCAGCTTCAGAGTTCCTGGGTCAGAGCACCTTGTGCTGGAATTGTGTGTTCATGCAGC